TGGATTCGGGTCACCCGTGGAGCAGGACCGCTCGGCCCAAGTGGCCTCTGGCCTCAGGCTTCTTTGTGCAGCAAGCAGCCGAGTTCACTGACCCACCTGAAGGACGCTGCTCTCAATTCGCAGGCCCCAGCTGGTGAATGTCTTTTTGGTTTTTAGGTGCATGGTGATGGCTAGGCGGCTTGAACACGTTTCCCGTTAGAAAGGAGAAGGGGCCCTGGCCGGTTTGGCTCAGCGGTTAGAGCGTCGGCCTGCGGTCCGGAGAGACCCGGGTTCGGTTCCCGCTAAGGGCACATACTTCGGTTGCAGTTTGTCCCTGGCCCTGGTTGGTCGTGCGGGTGGCAGCCACTCGATGTGTCCCTTCACGTCGATGTTTCTCTCTCTCTCTCTTCCTCTCTCTCCCTCCCACTCTATCTGTACAAAAAATGGAAAAATATCCTCGGGTGAGGATAAAGAAAAAAAAAAGAAAGGAGAAGGGTATTTAAGTGCCCTGTGCGGGAAGACCCTGAGGATGACCTGGCTTGGTGAGCACTGCTCCCTTTGGGAAAGAGTAGCTGCCCGTGTTCCCACCGGAGAACGGCTGCCCTGTTTGTTGATTGTTTCAACCCAACACGTCAAAACTCTCGGCCCAGTTCAGAGACCTGGGCCAGCCTCAGGCTGATTGAGAAGGTGAGGCAGACGGTACAGATGGGAATCGGTGTAGCGGAATCGGTGTAGCAGGTGGGCTGGGCCTCAGAATCGTCTGTACCACAGAATCAGCTGTGGCTCCTCTTCCCCTCGGAAGGCCCACCTGGGCCCTGCTGGTTCCTGTGTTACTTCCATCGCTTCCTTTCTTCCCATCAATAGAGTGTCTTTTTCTTTTTTCAGGAAGGAGCACTCCTTGTACCAAGCTAATAGCTGAATAAACTCCTCACTAGTGAGAGTGTTTTGTTTTTTCCTCCCCTGAGCCCATTTCCAGACCTGCTTGGGAAGAAAGTTGATATTTCACCCCATCCCCAGTTTAAAGTGTATGCCTCGATTGTTCTGCAGAGAAGCTATTTTAGTTAGACGCGTAGTCGTTGGGCTCTTTAATTGCAGGTAACAGAAACCGACTTGTGCTGGCGTTAGCCACAGAGAGGAATTTATTATAAGGATAAAGGAACATCTCATGGAAGCACAGACAGGAGTGTGGCCAGACTTCAGGAAGGAACCGAGGGCTGGAAAGCGGCCAGGACGCCTCCGCTGTGTCTCATCTCTGAAGCTGCGGGTGTGTGCTGCCTTTGTCTCTCTGCTGACTGGCTTTTACTGCCTCTGTCCACAGGAGACAGGCTGCTGTCACTCAGAGAGTAATGCTCTCCCTCCACGTCCACTCCCGAGTGCTGTCAGAATGACTGGTGTCTTTCAGTATCGATTCCCGGAAAAAAGAACCTGATTGGTCAGATCCCCCCAGTGATGGTCTGTGGACAGAGCACGGTGGCCGTCTTCTCAACCAAGGTTTCCAGATCTGGCTGATGATTCGAGTCACCAGGGGGAGATTTTGGTTTTTATTTTTCAATACAGACCCAGGCTCCACCTTAGAATCCACAGCAGTAGGAGCTGGGACTCTGCACTAAAAATTCCTCAGGAGATTCTGATGATAAATGAGATTTGAGAGCCAATGAAACACAAGTCTTAGGTATCCATTAATCTTTCTACTAAGGACTCACGAGAGGCTGCCTTTTAAGCTGTCTATTTGTAGAGGCTATTACTATAGGGCTGGAATGAGCAATTCATTTCAGTGCAAATATACGTGAGTGGGATGGGGAACTCCCTACCCGACAGAGCACTTGCTGCAGAACCAGTCTAGTGGAAATCTGAGAAGCCAGCTAGAGTTGGATCTAATGTCACTATTCTTTAAAGCAGTGGTTCTCAACCTTCCTAATGCCGAGACCCTTTAATACAGCTCCTCACGTTGTATGTGGGCGTATCTGCACGTGGGCGGACCCGCCTGGACACGGATGGAGGAGCGGTGTCTTGGTTCCTCAAACCATCAGAAATATGTGTTTTCCAATGGTCTTAGGTGACCCCTCTGAAAGGGTCATTCGACCCCCAAAGGGGTCACGACCCACAGGTTGAGAACCGCTGCTTTAAAGGCTTCATGTTCAGTACTTTTAGACAAGATTTCAAGAACAGTTCTTCCCTGGTGAAATCTGGCTCAGTGTTAGCCAAGCAGAGGATAGAGCATTGTGGGTCAGCGTGAGTCAAGAACAGGGTTAGAACCTAGGTCTTCGACGGAAGGAAAATAGAACTCAGCTGGGAAAACGCCATCTTCGAGAATTGTGTTTTATGTTCCATGCTTTAATTCTCACTCATGCCGTCTCTGCTGCCTGGTAAACCATGACCTCTTCTAACATCTACTGGCTTGTTCTTTAAGACTTAACTTGTGTTCCCACTGAGAGGAAGCCTTCTCCGACTCCTTAGTCCACTCACCTTTGCTTCCACCCCTATAATATCTTCTGTGTACCTCGACCACACCGTGGACTGTACTCCTTTGCTTCTCCACCACCTCCCCTTGATGATGGGGGGTTGGCACTCAGGTGACTACATCCACATAGGGGTTGGTGTGAACAGTCCTTCTACTGAACTGATGTGGTGATGCATCTGCCAATCTGGCCCCTGGCAGCCCTTCTGTCCCTCACACCCCTCTTATTCCCACAGCCAAGACTATTCTGCTTTAGCCAACAATCTCAACACCATTCCAGGCGCTGGGATCACTCGCCACCTGAATCCAGTATGCCATGCTAATTATGACCCCCTAAACACCATGGTGAATTCTGAAGATGTTTTATTTGTATTATACTCTGTGATACTCCAGCTAAATCAGCCATAATTCACTAGCCATGATTTGGATATTACTTCATTTAATTCCTACAACAAGCATACAAAGAATGCTTTATAGGGAAAACAGAGTTGGAAGGTTAAGTAACCCGCCTAAGCCACACCATCAGTAAGTGTCAGAACCAAAATCAAAACCCAGATCTGACCCCAAAACCTTATGTGCTTAAACACCAGGCTGCACATGAGTCCCTCTTTAAACTGACTTTACATAGTTGCTTAGTTAACTAGTCACTTTATATAGTTAGTTATCTTTCCCTGTGTATGCCTCATTTTTCTCAGAATAAAACAGTGTAAGTAAGTTGGTTGGTTATAAACAATACAATTGTGATGGTGTGTCACTAATCTTAACTAAAAAAAAAAAAAATAGTACCTAACCTTCTCTTATCAGCTATCAAGTACAGAATGATTTTCTACAGGTATCTCTTCGAAAGTTTCCAATGGAATGTAAGTCTAGGCCTCTTTGCATCTCATCCACTTGCCATGGCTGAGGAGGAGATTTCTCTATGGCTCTCCCTATTTGCTGTGAGACGTGCCTGAACTCCAAGGAACTCGTTTTAGGTGTGTCGCCTACACAGTAGGGTCTGAGAACACTGTATCAAGAGAGGGTGATGGAGTCCACCACAGCTCTCAGAGTAGTCATAACTGAGTCACGAAAGTTACATAGGCTGGGCCTGAAATAGGGCAGTTGGGGGAGGGCAGTGTGTACACAGATTACCCAAATATACATCTATGTATCTCTGACAGCCCACATAAGAAAACATTCTTCACTAGTCTTAGGAAGGGTTTTTAAGAAGACACCAGAGTTCTACAAGATATCAGAAATGGTTTGCATCATTATAAAGCGGGGAAGTTGAAAACTAAATTTTATTTTATTTTATTTTTTGGTACGTGCCCCTAGCCGCTAGGGCCTAGCAGAAACCGAACCTGGGACTCTCTGGTCCGCAGGCCAATGCTCCAACGGCTGAGCCAAACCGGCCAGGGCGAAAACTAAATTTTAAATAAGTCATGATTATACAGCTCCTCCTCCACATGGAAACGTGGTTCAAAGGCTGGAAACCTAGAGATATTCACTTAACCGTAGACCTATTCTGACAGAAGACGTGAATGTAGCCTGCAGGGGGGCAGGGCCAAGCCTCCTCTCTCCAGAGGCTACAGCAACCTAGTCCAGACCTTCACAGAGATGACAGATGTACCACGCAGATATATGACCCTACACTAGAGAGCAAAAGAGGGAAGGGCTGATTCAGGCAGCCTCAGGGGACACCGCCTGAAAGTATAAGGTTTTCCTTCAACTTCATGAGCAAACTTTTCATTCCAGGTGCAAAGGGTAAATACTTCGAGGCTTCCTCCAAGGGCAGAAAGCCCCAGCAGCCTGCAGTGGACAACTGATGCTCCCTCACAAGTATAAAGAACAGGGAACTGGCAGCTTTGCCACAGGTTGTGAATGTGAGTGATGAGCAGGTGACAGAGCACAGGCTGGGAGCAGGGATGGGGGAGGGAATAACCATGTGTTTGTTTCCTAACCTATCAACTCTAAATGCTGGTAACACTCAGAGAACATCCAGAAAGCTGGTAGAGAAGAAGTTCTGAAACTCTAAAGAGAGGTCCAGTCAGTAGATTTTAGGAACCATTTGCAGGGAAATGATAGTATCTATCTAATGTGTCACAGAAAGAAAAGAGAACCCAGGATTCGAACTTATGGGAATGTACACTGGCTGTGGCATTCTGGTGACACAGTCCCCAAGTTCCTCTTCTCTCTACAGAGATTCCTCTCGGCCCTGAGAAGTCCCTAATGCTTACCGTATTCTATTCCCTTCTACCTTGAACAGCAGTAGTAAATTTTCTCCCCAACCTGACAGTCAAATAGAGCCTTGGAATAATGACTTTACTGAGCAAGCCATAAAAAATGTTGTAGTAGAGTGATCTCTGAATGGATGAATAACCCTTCTCCAGAATAAAGAACTGTGGTATCTAAAACAGCATACGATTCTTATTGCACCCCATTAATCTATATAGTTGAGCAAAAGAAAATCACTTACAAGAATGGTTTAAATTGTTGAGTTGGAACTTTATTACATCTAATTTTCAAAAGCTCCCCTTCCTTCTCTCCTCCCCAAACACTAATGGGGAGAACGGAAGCAAGTTACCTGTAGAAGGACTGTGGGATTTAAAGCAAGTGATTTGATGTAAGGCCTATTTATTATATTTTCCGTCTTTCTTGAATTTCTCGAATCATCGTCAAGTTCTTGTTTGAAGTTCCCACATTCTTCTCCCTGTACACACAGAATGAACAAAAAGCCGTGATCATGGTGTTCTTTATCCCTCTGGCGCAGGCCCGCAGAAGTGCTGGGCAATCGCTGGGACACTCAGCAGAGCGAGCGATTGGGTTTCAGCTGTCCGCACTGAGATGTGTTTCCTAACATGACACCAGCACGCGGGCAGTTTCTGCGTGGCTCGGGGCTGAACAAGCACTAGACTGAGGTGGGAAGAATGCTAATCCAGGTTTCTTGACATTATCAGATAAAGGGAACTCAAGAGGCTGGGTGTTGGCTGGCTGACAGATATACTCTCTGACACTAATGCAGGTTCGTTTGTTTAACACTCCCCCTACAAAAGATTAACCCAGTTTCTTCACAAAGAACAGTGGCCAGCTTGCTCCTTCCCAAAGCTGTGGGGAAAAGCAGCAGCCCCGCCCTCAGAGATTCAGCTCCTTCCAGGTGAGGCAAATAAATGCAAATTGAGGCTTATTAATAACCAGCATCTATCCCACCCTCTGGAAATCCTCTTGTGCAGAACAGCAGGGCTACATTCCAAGTCCCTGAGTACTGAGACGAATAGCCTCTAGGCAAAAAGCTAGAGGATAACTGAACCATTTCTGGGCTTGCAAATCTACCCAGGAAAATAAGGGTTGACAGTGGTGTTTAACATGGGCCCTCTTATGCACATCCAAACCCACTAGAGGGAGCCACAAACAGCAGAACACCAATACCCACAGGGAAAATTTGGCAGGCTCCAAAACCCATTGAGATAGCCAAAATGGTGATACAAAGAAACAAATCCCAAATGAAAGAACAAGAGAACTCTATCGAAGATAAGTTAAATGAAACGCAATTAAGCAAGTTATCAGAGGTACAGTTCAGAGCCATGATCTTGAGGGAGCTCAACAGCATGAGTAAGGACATCAACACCATGAGTAAAGATATAGAAACACTGAAAACCAACAAAGTAGAAATGAAGAATGACACAGCAGAAATAACACATTGGGAGGACTAACCAATAGAGCAGAGAAAGCTGAGGACTGAATCAGTGAATCAGAAGACAGGGTAGAAAAAAATCAACCAATCAGAAAACCAAAAAAAAAAAAACAATAAAAAAACAGGAAGGCAGCTCAAGAGAACTGTGGGACAACTAGAAACATAATAACATTCACATAATAAGAGTCCCCAAAGAAGAAGAAAATGAACAAGGGTTAGAGAATATATTTGAAGAAACAGTGACAGAAAACTTTCCGAATTTGGTGAAGAAAGAAGGCATTCAAGTTCAAGAAGCACAGAGAGCCCCAAGTAAGAACCCAAACAGGCCCACACCAATACACATAATAATTAAAATACCAAAAATTAAAGACAGAGAATCCTAAAGGTAGCAAGAGATAAGCAACAAGTTACCTACAAAGGAACCCCCATAAGGCTATCAGCTGACTTCTCAAAAGAAACACTACCGGCCAGAAGGGAATGGCATGAAGTAATCAAGGTCATGAAAAACAAGGATCTGAATCCAAGACTACTCTACCCAGCAAGGCTATCATAAAAATAGAAGGTCAAATAAAAAGAGTTTCCCAGACAAAAAAAAAAAAAAAGCTAAGGAAATATATTAGCACCAAACCAGCCTGCAAGAAATGGTAAAAGGACTGCTGTAATTAGTAGAAAAAATAGGAAGATATATATAACCACACTAAACAAAAATGGCAATAAATAAGTACATATCAATAATCACCTTAAATGTAAATGGTTTGAATGCTCCAATAGAAAGACAAGAGTAGCTGACTGGATAAGAAAGCATGACTCAAAATATATGTTGTTTACAAGAAACCCACCTTACAACAAAAGACTCACATAGGTTGAAAGTGAAGGAAAAATATCTTCCAAGCAAGCGGAAAGGAAAAAAAAAAGCTGGAGTAGCAATACTCTTATCTGATAAACGAGATTTCAAAATGAAGGCCATAAGTGGAGACAAAGAAGGTCACTACATAATATTGAAAGGATCTATCCAACAAGAAGATATAACATTAGTAAACATATACACACCCAATATAGGAGCACCAAAATATATTAAAAATCTTCTTGAGGATTTCAAAGGAGAAATCGATAGCAATACTATCATAGCAGGGGACTTCAACACCCCACTGACACCACAGGATAGATCATCTAGACAAAAAATTAACAAGGAAACAGACTCTAAATAAAGCGCAAGATCAAAAGGATTTAATAGATATCTACAGAGAATTACACCCCAAAACTGCAGAATTTACATTCTTCTCAAGTGAACATGGGACATTCTCAAAGATAGGCCACAGGTTAGGGCACAAACTAAGTCTCCACAAGTTCAAAAAGACTGAAATCCTATCAAGCATCTTCTCAGATTACAATGGCATGAAACTAAAAATCAATTGCAACAAGAACATGCAAAGACACTTGAAAACGTGGAGGCTAAATAGCATGTTATTGAACAATGAATGGGTTACCATGGAGATCAAGGAAGAAATTAAAAACTTCCTGGAAACCAATGAAAATGAACACAAAATCTATGGGACGCAATGAAAGCAGTTCTGAGAGGGAAGTTCATAGCACTACAGGCCTACCTCAAGAAACAAGTAAAGTTACTAATTGACTATTTAACCTCACAACTTAAAGAACTAGAAAGCAAACAAAAAGAAAATGCCAGAGCAAGTAGAAAAAAGGAAATAGTAAATATCAGAGCAGAAATAAATGACATGGAGACCAAAAAACAATTCAAAGGATCAATGAAACAAAGAACTGGTTTTTTTGAAAAGATAAACAGGATTGATGGACCCTTAGCTAGACTCACCAAGAAACAAAAAGAGAGAACCCAAATACACAAAATCAGAAATGAAAGAGGAGAAGTAACAACTGACACCACAGAAATACAAAGGATTGCTAACAAATATTATGAACAATTATACGGCAACAAATTGGACAATCTAAGAAAAGTGGACAAATTTCTAGTAACACACAGTCTCCCAAAACTGAACTGGAAAATAGAAAACTTGAACAGTCCAAGAACAACGATAGAAAATGAAGATGTAATCAAGACTCTCCCAACAAACAAAAGCCCAGGCCCACACAGCTTCATGGGGGAGTTTTACTAAACATTCAAATAAGAACTAACACCCATTCTCCTCAAACTATTTCAAAAAATTCAAGAAGGAAGACTTCCAAACTCATTTTATGATGCCAGTATAATTCTGATTCCAAAACCAGAAAAAGACACTACAAAGAAAGAAAACTACAGGTCAATATTCCTGATGAACATAGACGCCAAAATCCTGAACAAAATACTAGCAAATTGGATCCAGCAATACATCAAAAAATTATTCACCATGACCAAGTGGGATTCATCCCAGGGATGCAAGGCTGGTACAATATTGACAAATCAATAAATGTGATACGCCACATAAACAAAATGAATAAAAACCACATGATCATAACAATAGATGCTGAAAAAGCATTAGACAAAATCCAGCACCCATTTCTGATAAAAACACTCAGCAATTTGGGAATAAAGGGATCATATCTTGACATAATAAAGGCCATATATGAAAGACCTACAGGCAACATCATACTCAATGCACAAAAACTAAAAGCATTTCCTTTAAGAACAGGAACAATACAAGGATGCCCACTTTCGCCACTCTTATTTAACGTAGTGCTGGAAGTCTTAGCCACAGCAATCAGACATGAAGAAAAAATAAAAGGGATCCAGCCCTGGCCAGTTTGGCTCAGCGGTTAGAGCGTCGGCCTGTGGTCCGGAGAGACCCGGGTTCGGTTCCCGCTAAGGGCACATACTTCGGTTGCAGTTTGTCCCCGGCCCTGGTTGGTCATGCGGGTGGCAGCCACTCGATGTGTCCCTTCACGTCGATGTTTCTCTCTCTCTCTCTCCCTCCCACTCTATCTGTACAAAAAATGGAAAAATATCCTCGAGTGAGGATAAAAAATAAAATAAAATAAATAAATAAAAGGGATCCAAATTGGAAAGGAGAAAGTGAAACTGTCATTATTCACAGATGACATGATATTATACATATAAAACCCTAAAGACTTCATCGAAAATCTACTAGACTTAATAAATTTGGCAAAGTAGAATACAAAATTTATGTCAAGAAATTGACGGCATTCTTACACACCAATGATGAACTCACAGAAAGAGAAACTAAGAAAACAATCCCATTTACCATTGCAGCAAAAAAATTAAGATACCTAGGAATAAACTTAACCAAAGAAATAAAGGACCTATTTGTAGAAAACTACAGGACATTAAAAAAAGAAATAGAGGATGATACAAAAAAGTGGAAGCACATACCTTGTTCATGGATTGGAAGAACTAACATCATTAAAATGTTCATACTACCCAAAGCAATCTATAGATTCAATGCAATCCCCATCAAAATACCAATGACATACTTCACAGAACTAGAACAAATACTTCAAAAGTTCATATGGAACCAAAAAAGACCTCGAATTGTCACAGCAATCTTGAAAAAGGACAAAGTAGGAGGGATCACAATACTGGATATCAGGTTATACTACAAAGCTACTGTAATCAAAACAGCCTGGTACTGGCACAAGAACAGACATATAGACCAGTGGAACAGAACTGAAAACCCAGAAATGGACCCAAGGCAATACGCTCAATTAATATTTGACAAAGGTGGCAAGAGCATACAGTGGAGTAAAGACAGCCTCTTTAATAAATGGTGTTGGGTAAATTGGACAGCTACATGCAAGAAAATGAAACTAGACCATCAACTTACACCATACACAAGAATAAACTCAAAATGGATTAAAGACTTACATGTGACTCGTGAATCCACAAAAATCCTAGAAATATAAGCAACAAAATTTCAGACATCATATGCAGCAGAATTTTCACTGATATATCAGCTAAGGCAACAGAAACAAAGGAACAAAATGAACACATGGGACTACATCAAACTAAAAAGCTTCTGCACAGCAAAAGAAACAACCACCAAAATGGA